ACTTTAGTTTTTCTTCCTCCCTCCTCCCTTGTCCTGATACTTTTCCTTATCTAATGACAAGTTTTTGAAAGCTTTTAGGTTATATTGCGACTCTTAAAATGGTCTTAATGGCTTTTGATTTTTGTCCCCAGACAATTTACAATCACAGCTGATCTTAGCTGTCTCAAAAACCTGAGCAGAACCTTGTGAGTATTTGGATAAAAAAAACTATCAGAAAATCCCAGAATTGTAGGGAAGTTTTAAAAGAACCAATCCTCCTAGAAAAAGGAATGGCAAACCCGTTGTATCATGGTGAAAAACAACAGCATGGAGTTAAGTTTAATTCAAGAGACTTGACTCCAAAATGTATGACTTTACCCCAACATATAGACACAATGAATAATTTTGTTATGATAATATTTGCTATTGAGGTTGAAAAACTGAGGTTTAGTAAGTAATTTTGAAATGCAGCATTTGGCCTACCTTGTCGTAAATTCATGTTCTAATACAAAACATATACATTTATACAACAATATTGTACTATGTACTATGTTATACATAATGTACTGTATATATTACATTAATGTACAAAATATAATGCACATATTACAATTATCTATCAATATACAACAATAATGTACTTTGTGTCATATGCATATGAATATGCATGGGTTTGTAGATGCAGTTGAAGCTATGGAGAATGACCTTCAAATCGGTTTTATCGTTGTTGATTATTGCGTGCTCTAATTAAGAACTGGAAAAGCTGTTTTTTCTTGCACTTAGTTGTAATATGTGTGATTCATTGTAGACTAGATGTTATACAGGAAACTGTTAATATTTCTTTACTATGGGACCCATTTAAGATTTTGTAAAGGTCTGAGAAGTTTAAATTAATTCATATTCTATTTTGAAACCTTACTTTAAAATCAGTTTGATTGTGATACCTGGAGAAACTAGCTTTGGACATTCAAAACCTGGGCAAAAGACCATCTAATTTTGAAGTTGCTATAAAATGTTTCTCTTTTGAAGTAGTGTTTCTCAAAGTGTAGTCCATGGACCCTAAGACTCAAGAAAATCAAAATTATTTGCCATCCTATATTAAAAAATAATACTATATTAAAATCCTGTCAAACAATTGTGAGAAGCATTAGTGGTAGTGAGTGCGTCAATTGTAATTTTTAATAAGATAGTATTAATAAATATAACCCATGCAAATAAAAGCTCTTTTGGAGTCCTCTATAATTTTTAAAAGTAGGAATGCTTACTGAGAGACAAAAGTTTAAGAAACACTGTTTTACAAGACTGTAGTTTCGACCCCCCCCCCTTTTAAAAAATTCAGTGACATATAAGTATACTTTAATCAAGGTGCTACTGTACTTCAGGTTAAAATAAGTATATTTTTTGTTTCAGATAATAGCTTCATTTCAGTCTCCAGACTAATAAAATAAGAGCAATGGTTATTTAAAGAGTATTGTAAACATATGAGAAGAAACAGTTGCACGGTGAATTTAAATTCTATCATGAAAATAGAATTTACTGTTTCTGTGCTCAAACAGATTTTAACATAACCATTGTTGCAATCTAATATAACAAATTTAGAATTATTTGCTGTGTTCCTAGCTGATTCCTTTCACAATCAGTCGAATTGCAGCAATATGTTCCTATAAATTTGATGGTTTAACATTACTTCCGTAACAGATCCTGTAGAAAACTGTAGAACTATTTCAAAGCTATGCTACTTCTTTAGGTATTTACCATGATAGTTTTGGAATTCTTGTGTAACACTAGAGGAAAAATTGCATTATTTTTAAATATTTTGAACTCTGAATCAAAGTTCTTGACATAGAACTATGAGTTTTGTAACCAGAGAATATTGGCAAACAGAGGAATAATGCAGTTAGGCATTATTTATAACTATTGTAGTTACATCCTCAACCCCCCCACTCCTTTAACCTCAAATTATCCACTATTGACCTCACTCCATTCCTAAGAGGTCTGTAAGGGGCGTGCATAAGTGCACCATCGAGCCTCCTGTCCCTGTCCTATTGTCCCCATTTAATCATGCCTATTTTCTGTATTCTTACTCATGTTTTATACTTATACCTATTGTTTTGTAAGCGATTGACAAATCAAAAAAATAAAATAAATAAATAAAATAAAATTTAACCTATTCTCCCAGAAGACAGGTAACAGGGATAAAAATGGTTGGGAGAATCAACTGGTAGCAGATATATATGTGATGCTAGTCTAGATTGATTTATTGTATGTCCTATTCCAAAAGGGGAACAAATTTTGTAATACCATGGAAGTGGTAGAATTTCATCTACTGTTTAATTAAAATATTTCATTGACTCCTGTAAATTTTATTTGTTCATTAGCAAACCTCTTTGGATATAAGCTGGCAAAACAAAGGCACAAAATATAGTTTTCTGATTTAATTACAGATTAGAAGGGGCAAACTTTAAAAGATTTGTAAGTGGCCAATCATGAACCTTTAAAATCCACTGAGATGAATGTTGCATTTTAACTATTTCACATAAAAGCCCACAGAGTTAAATGAACTGAGTGAACAGCATTGGATGCTTAGCAGCAGAAAGCTACTTACAAAGTTTATTAACTAACCTCTGATACATTGCAAAGATCTTATAATGAAAATCTGACATTTGGATGGCTGTTTTATTTGTGATGATCAGGGCCTTAATCTCTCACAGATTCTGCAGAATGTATGCCCTTTACGTCTACTTCCTGAGATACTATTAAATAGTTGTGAGGCAATCTTTGGAACCAGTTTTTCCACATACATTGCTAAGAAAATATATATAACAATATGCCAATTTGTTTCTGATTTAGCTTTTATTAAATTGAATGTTCTTATGGTTCATTGCATAGTTAACCAGATGTTCTGACTGATCTGACATTTTTTTTTCCACCTATAAAGTCCTACCCAAGGACGTAGATTAGACATATGTGGATATTGGATGGTCTTTTGTGTGTGTGTGTGGATATTGGATGGTCTTAACTGTATTGTTGCAGGATGTAAGACGGGGTGGGATTCAATTTTTTAAACAACCGGTTATGTGGGTGTGGCTTAGTTGGTGGGCGTGGCGTGGTGGTCGTGTGACTGGGTGGGCGTGGCTTGGTGGTCATGTTATTGGCTGGGCATGGCCAACTCAGTATCACTCACATCGAGGCACGCATCTTCTCGCCTGGCCTCCATGACTGTGGGGATGCTGCAATAGTCGTAAGTGTGAAAAATGGTCATAAGACACTTTTTTCAGTGCCATTGTAACTTTGAATGGTCACTCCACACAAGCAAAGTACCAGCAAAGGAGGGGAAAAAAACTCCAGAGAAGTTCCTGAGACAGGAAGTCTAGTCCTGCCAAGAATGCAATAAGGGTTAACAGAGAGGCAGTTTCTGTAAGCAACACCAGAATGTTTCCTTCCTGCCTTCCTTACAGGATTAGGCCAGTAATTTCTTCTAACAACCGGCTCTCCGAACTGCTTAGAATGTTAACCGGCTCTAGCGAATAGGTGCGAACTGGTAGAATCCCACCCCTGATGTAAGCTGATGTAATTCTCTCCAACCAGCAGACTGGCAATTCTGTATATATCCAAAGAACCACTTTTGAATATGCCCTTCTTCCTTATGTTAAATTTGTACTTTTTGTTTATTGGTTCATCACAAAGCTCTTTAAACAGCCACGCCATTCACATCAGCATTCTCCTATTTTTCTTTCTGTTTGGTATTGTTTGTGCTGGGCCTTAATTATTTCATTTCTCAGAATTTTATACTAGGCTGGATTTTTGCCATTGATCCATATGTCCATATAAGTGTAGTCATTTATGTATAACACAACCTCCTCCACTTTGGTTTAATGTGAACAAATTATATCATTTAAGTATTATATTCCAATACCTTGAGCTTGAGCTATATCCACCAGGTATCAGCAATACCAACAATTTCATATTTGCCTTGTCTTCAGTATTAGGACTTAAAATTCTGTTTCTGAGCATTAGTGTACAGGTATCGGAGTCCTTTGGTACTACTTTTCTTGCATCTCCTGGTGTATTCTTGAGTGCTGTATTCTTCTTCATTGTTAAGTTTATTGCTTTGAATAATAATGAATAACATTTCCCATGTTTAGTTTAAAGCCTGCCTGAGCTGAAATACATTCTTCCCAATCTATGAGATCCAGCCCATCTCTTGGCACACCAGTGCTTGAGCCAATGGTTCTCCTCCAGAATCCTCTATTTCTTCCTTGGGACGTGACTTTCACTCAGAAGTATGGATGAAAACAAAATTTGTCTTTCAAATACTGTGGTTTCATTCCTAGTTCTTCCTTGTTCTGTTTCTTTCCACACTCATTCTGGCAGTATTATTTCAACACAAAACTTCTAAGATAGCAGTCAGGTTGGATACAGTCTTTCTTGTTGCATCCCATATTTTTGCACGTGGAAGGCAACATACTTCTCTTGATACCATGTCTGTTCTGCAGACCTGTTCCTCTCAGCAGTGAGTCACTATCACCAGCACATGCAATTTCTCTTTTGGGACCACCGTTGAATTCTTCTCTGGAGAAGCCAGTTTCTCTTCTCTCTAAACCTGAAACTGGGCTAAAGAAGAAAAAAAATCATTTTCAGAATGCTAACACTCTGGCGGAGGGCCTGCAATTGTGCAACTCTAGCAACAGACACTGGTTAGGTTCAAGTGCAAGTCATCATAACTTTTTTTCATTTCAAGGGAAAATAGTTTTTAAGCATGACACAAGATGTTTTAAGCATTTTGGAATAGTTGCAAAATCAAAATAAACTGTTTTGTGTCAAGAACAGGCTTATGTTAGGTGTAAAACACTTCCAAAATGGTTGAAATAGCCCACTTGACATCCAAAATAACACCTTCCTGTTTAAAATGGGAAATTTGGGGAGTATTCATGATTGAAATTAAATTGAACATTGTGTAAATTCTGAAGGAAGATTTTTTTTTAATATGTATTAACTGTATTTTTCTTTCCTTTCAACAGAAACCATAGTCCTTTAATGAGTTTTGGAGCCAGCTTTGTCAGCTTTTTGGTAAGTGAGTCCAAATACATATGTTGTTATTGCATGGCATTCCTTTGTTGGATCACTGATTTTGAAAATTATCAATAATTTTGAAATTGTAGATTTAGTAAAAAGTTGTTTGGAGAAAATGATACACATTTTTCAGCATGATCCAAATGCTATATCAATGAAGTAGAATAAAATGATAGGTGTAAGAGTTTTGGTATGGTTCGTTATGCCTTTCATTTACTTTTCTGGGGAATTGTCATATGTGAACAACCAGACCCACGGGTGCAGTGTTTGAGCTAACTACTTTATTACTTTCTGCGTATAATACAAGAATCTCTCCAGTCTGGCAGCTTACTCTTGGGAATAATAGATAAGCTGCAAAGAACCTAGGAAGTATAGGTCCTAGCCCTTTTGCAGTTGCGCATTGACTCCAGGTTAACTGCACACTTCTTCTCTGCCAGGCTGAGGAATATAACTAAAATACTTGTCTTAGTTTTACTATATTCTTAAACATTTTTCAATCAAAAGGCATATAGATTGCAGAATAAGGGACTATTCCTTCACGTGTGCATATGTACTGTTCACTATCTGTGTGTGTGCACAAAAGAAAGCCAGTTCTTTAATCGTTGTTGAACAAGACATGGAATTGTGGTGGCATAGTGGTTAGAAGGTAGTACTGCAGGCTAATTCTGCTGACTGCCAAGTGCCAGCAGTTTGGCAGTTTGATTTTCACCGACTCAAGGTTGACTCAGTCTTCCATCCTTCCGAGGTTGGTAAAATGACCTAGATTGTTTCGTAGATTATGCTGACTTTGTAAACTACTTAGAGAGGGCTGTAAAGTACTGTGAAGCAGTATATAAATCCAAGTGCTTATTGTGATCTGTTTCATATGTAACACTAAATTATATTTTGCTAGGTTATGTCACCAAAACCTAGTAAAATTATATTATGTTTCAGTATTCCATTCTAATCTGTCACTATGGCTGGATTCATACATTGCATAAAGCTTAAATTAAGTTTGTTTGGAATTTACCATTCAGTAATTTCTATAATAGGTGTGAGCCATCTATTATGATGCTGATAAACAAGTATCCTGTTTACATGAGCTCATAAGAAAGTTAATGAAAGATTGTAATGTAAAATAGTTGCTTCACTATCTATGAAAAGAAAGGGTATTGTGGTACTTTTAGGCCAAGTATATGAATATTACAGCTCTACTTCCATTCTTTATTGGCGTTATGTTAAGAAATCCTGCCAAAAATACAGGAAATATCTTTGTGTGATAACCTCTCTTGTAAATAGTTGATGTACAAGTGCTTTTATAAATCTAAAATTGAAGACAGTTTTGTTTGAATATATTCTTGTCTTTTGTAAAGATATTGGAAATATATTTTTCCTCCTTTATTTAAATGGGTCATTTACCTAAGATGGGATTTTAAGTGAATATAACAATCCAATATAGCAACATTATATCTTGCAAAGCTTCTTCTGTTCTAAATATAGCTGCAGTAGTTTATGTTCCAGTGTAATTGAGATCTTCTATTTAAAAAAAAGAGGAAAATGTATTGTGCCAAAATGGAGATTAAATTAATTTAAGTAAGGCATTTCTGCATATCTTTAGTTTGGTTGTAAGGCATAGAATTCTTTAAATACATATAGGTTTTGTTTTCCCTTAGTGAATTTATATATAATTTGTGGCAATAACAGTAACTAGAAGATAATTTATGTATCTTAATTATATTTTAGTTACTATAATACAACAGTTTTAGGCCACCTCTGTACAAAATCTTCTAACGATCTGATAATCTTCTAACAATCTTATCAAGTTGATTGCTAATTATTCCTTTTCATTGTTTTCAATTTTAATAAAGTGAGAAATAGATTTACATTACCAAGAAGTATTTATTTTATTACATATGTAAAAAGGCAAAAACTTATATCAAAGTACTGATTTTTAGGGAGTACAAATGCTCTGTTGTAAATTGTAATTCAGAATTGCCTAAATCTAAGCAGCTAAACAGAGTTTAAAATAAATTGTCATTAATATATACACACACACACACACAACACACACACACACACACAGTGTATATACAGACACATTTGAGGAATCATGATTATGAAGGAGTATTACCTGATATCTTAGTAATTACATTGATTTCTTGTTTAATGGTATATTATTTTTCTTTTAAGAAGATTTCATCCTTCTAGCATTGTAGGCAATTTACAGCTGTAAGTGTAGCCTGGGTTGTTGTTGTTTTTTTGATTTTGCAAAAAGATAGTTGTGCTGGTTTTCTTCAGAAAAGTGCCTTGTGAAACTTAAAGATTAATTTAAGGTTTATTGCTGCATAATGTGATAATACTCTGTAGTGTATCAGATTCATTATATGATAATTTGTTAGTTTTTAAAAGGCCACAAAAATAATTTTTGAATTAAGTTCTCAACTTCCCTGACAGTTGCTTATAATTGAAGGAGTTCTTATATATAATTATATCTTAGTTAATGAAGTTGCTTCAAAAAGCTTCTAAAAGAACAATATATCATTAGTTTGTAAAGTAATAAATGCATTTAGATTAGTTTGGCACTTTCAGGTTCAGTAGTCTTTTTATGTTTTAACAGAATGCCATGATGACATTTGAAGAAGAGAAAATGCAGCTGGCATGTGACGATTTAAAAGCTACCGAAAAATTATGTGAGAGTGAAGAAGCAGGAGTCATAGAAACAATAAAAAATAAAATTAAGAAGAATGTAAGTGAAACATTGCCAATACCTAGATGAATGAGTCCTGTGTCAATACACTACTGTTTTATATATGCCTGTCCTATGGGACTCCATAGCATGTAATATGCAATAATCTCATATTCAGTTTTGTTGCTTTTAAAATTTTGACATACTTTTATGAACTCAGGCATCATTATCTCCTATTATTCCTATTTCCAGAGTACCCGACAAATGGCTGTTCAAATAGGCATTTCTCTGAAAATTGGCCTTTATACCATTATATACAGAGAAAATAATCCCAGCTAAAATTAGCTCTTATAAGTTATAGACAGTGTATTGTCTTCTGGTAGCATAAACAAATTATAATCTTGGGTATGTTCTGTATATAATTTTTTTCTTTTCCATAGCAAGATTAGTCATACCATTGTTGGTGATCTGCAAGTAAAGAAGTGTCCCTTTTTCTCTGTAAAAAATTATGCCTGTTTCTAGTTTTATTTCTTGTTCTTGTCTATCTGCTAAACATTAATTATGTTATTCTTCAATACTTCAAAGTTTCCTTCAAAAGATTAAAATCCCTCCTAGAATCCTACCTAACCATGAAGAAAAACAAGTTTTCATCATAATGTTTGCCTAGTTCTTTAATCCAATCTCCTCTTTCCCCTCTGTTTCCACTTTTTAAGTACGATGTAAACGGCAGCTGTTGTCCAATCACCATCTGTCCACAGTTACCATCTAGCCTTCAGAATTCATTTTACTAATACTTTTATATCTAGGTTAATGGAAATATTTGTAGCATTATGATTTGGTTGTTTGTGTTTTTGCTTGCCTTTGGAGCTTTGTCTTGCTAACACTTAAAAATAAAACCAAGAGCCACAAATTTACTTTATGCCTTTAACTAACAATTTAGGTTATTACATAACTACAGTTGACCTTTACTTAATTTGCCCCCATCATGTAAATATAATAGCATCTACCTTCAATGGAATTGTAAGAATAAATTTTATTAAACTGTCATATTCATGCTACATAGATTTCCTAGTTCAGTGGAATTAGGTGTAATAAACTTCATAGTCTATAAATAATTTAAATTTTGGCTTCCTTTGAGAACATACTGCATTATTAATGTTGAGTGCATAGAATCTGAGCCCTTTGTTTAGTGTCACTATTCTATATAATTTCTAAAGGATTATGTGGAGCTGGTCTTTGTATCCATTTTCTGATGTATTCTCCATAGGATACTTGCTGTAAAAGAATAGGGAGAAGAGAGTCAATCTACTTGGTGAACAGTAGAATTCCATGTTAAGTAATCGCATTGTTGAGATTGTTGGGAGTGGGGAGGTTGATGAAAGATAATAACAAATATTATCTTACAAAGTTCACATAGTCAATATTCTAATTATAACTTTAAATACTTTTGATATAATTTGGATATGTGTTTAAAATTAATCATAGAATCTGAATATTATACTGATGAAAACTTGTTGTATTATATATTATGAAAATATAATATTATATTGCTTGCTACAGCCAAGATGTCTGAATAAAATGAACATTACAGTGGTTTTAAAATGTAAACTTTAAAACTTCAGTGGTTTTTAAGCACATTTTAAAAAGTTTTAGGAAATACAGTCTGTTTAATTTGTATTTGCATTTTTTATTTTGAATAGAATTTATTACAAGTCAATTCACCATACCTACCTTGACTAAATTTTAATTAATTAATATTTGGGAGATGGAAACCTACCATTCTATAACACTATGTTTTTCACAGCTGGATGACATGGAAAAAATATAAAGCATTTCTGGTTCAAAGTATTAACTTCCAGAAAAGTGTCAGATCTCCCTCTCCCCCTCCCTCCCTCTCCCTCCCTCCCTCCCGCAGGCTGTATGGCTGTAACTGGTGTGACCCAGAATGTTCCATTCTTAGAATAGTCCAGTGGTGGCTAACCTTTTTGGGCTCCCATGCAGAAAATTGCATGTGCTGTATTTCTGGAAATACTGGAAGTGCCAAAATGGGTCTGTTTTTTGGCCTCCCAAGGCTGCAGAGGCTTCCCTTGAGCCTCTGGGGGGGCGAAAACGGCCTCAAATGGGCCGAAAATCAGCCTGGAGGCATGTGCATGCACAGTGCAGGTAAGTTTGGCTGGGGCTCACATGCCCGCACAAATGGCTCCACGTGCCACCTGTGGCACGCGTGCCATAGGTTCGCCATCACAGGAATAGTATGTTTTATGCATATCTTATTAATATGATGGTTCTGCTCTTTATTATTTTCAAATAGGTTGATGGGAGGAAGTCTGCCCCATCCATGATAGATCGATTGCAGAGGCAAATCATTGTGGCAGACTGTCAAGTGTACCTTGCTGTGCTGTCTTTTGTAAAACAAGAATTATCCGGTAAGCTGTGACATCTATTTTTTTTAATAATATTTATAATCTAAAACCAGGATTACTTAAATGGTTGGTTTCATAGCATACAGTACAAAAACTTTTATATGTTATGAATGCCATTAGTTTAAGATCTAACATATATTATAAATATTTCTAATCTAAGTCAAATGTAACAAATGTAACTATGAATGTAACAAATGTAACTATGGCAAAGGTATGCCTTTGCCATAGTTTTTTGTTGTTGATGCTAGGTATCATGTCTTGCTGTATCTCAAAAAAGTGTTACCATTCATCAAAGGGGAAACAATCACATAATTTATCATGCTTGTTACTTTCTGTCTTTTTTTGTGAATTTTAATTCCTGGCAACTACATTACCTGTTTTTTTAAATGCTAGGTAGCTTCTAATCTTTATGTATATCCTACATACATAAGCAAATGCCTAATTTTTAGGAATAATGGCGGGGAATGTAAACATAGTTGATACTTATTATATTATACACATAATTACTGCAGCAAGAATAACATTCGCCCAAAACTGGAAAGCAAGAGAGATTCCAAGTCAAGATGCCTTGATTAGGAAAATATTACATTGTGCCGAATTGGATAGACTAACTCTTGAATTGAAGGAGCGAGATGAATTAGAATATTATAAAATATGAACAAATTTTATAAATGGAAGGACATGAAAGGGTATTCATAGATTTAAAATAATTAGAGAAGTGATCAAAAGGAATAAAAGATAATTGAAAAAATGATACACAAAAATGTATACATGTATATAAATGTATCAACTTCTTTCGTTATTTCTAATTGTAAAAAGATTGGACAGAAATGTATGTCAAAAAAGAGACACCATGTTTTTTATGTTTATATCTAATAAAATTTGTTTAAAAATCCCCAAAATTCCTAATTTTTATAGTTATACAAGTAGAACACAGTTTATTTGTAATTATATTTCCAGTTTACCTTTGTATAATATATGGATTATTTTGATATAATTTCCTCTGCTTTGTGCAGAGTATGAGAGTATTTATTAACCATTTGTTGAAAGATTGTTTGAAATTATGATGGCATTGAACAGAAGGTCTTATGATGGATGCCTGGAGTTATGTCCATTGCAGAACCCCCACAGTCATGTAATTGCTAAGCTCTTAGCAACCCTTTCACTCTTACAAAAGGTTGCCACTCTCCCAGCCTCCCTGCCCTCCCATGATTATGTGTTTGCCATTTGCAATCTTCCCTGCTGGCTTCCTCAGAAAGTCAACAGGGAAACTGGCAGGGAAGGTCACAAGCAACTGCCACAGGACTGGTTGAACTGCCTGGGAGCTGGCTGAAAAAGATCACTTATGACCCATTTTGGAATGGACCTTTTTCATCCAGTCTGTTTGTGAATCTGAAAGGCTGTCTGCCAGATTGATTTTGCCCCATGTGGGGTGGAGTCCCTCCACCAAGCAGCCCTTTCGCTCTCAAAGACACTGACTGAAAGACTCCATGATGAAAGCCAAAAGGGTTTTTAGCAATAGCAATGGCACATAGACTCACATACCACTTTACAGTGCTTTATAGCCTTCTCTAAGTGGTTTCCAGAGTCAGCATATTGCCCCTAACGCTCTCGGTCCTCATTTTACCAACCTTGGAAGGATGGAAGGCTGAGTCAACCTTGAGCCGGTGGGAATCGAACTGCTGACAGTCAGCTGAGTTAGCCTGCAATACGGCATTCTAACCACTCAGCCACCATGGCTCTTTTAGCACAGGACACTTGCATAGCGGTTCCCTTCTGCACATAGAGGGAGCGGGAGGCCTTCAGTGGGCCAGAGAAAGAAAACCCAGATCTTGGGGATCCAAACTTCTTTTCTCCAGCTCAGTGCAGGGATTCCCTTCTATACTTGGAGGAGGGCTGCCCGTGCTCTTTCAGCAGGCAACTCTTTCACTCTGTCTACTGAGCGACTGCAACCGGGAAGAGAGTGAAGCGGTCCCATGGGCACCTCACTTAATGACCACAATGACTTAAGCCAAAATTTTGTGCCCAATTGTGGTCATAAATCAAGGACAACCTGCATAGGCTTGAAATAAGCTGAGGCCTCTGTGGGTGTTTGGGTGGAGCATGTGGTTGGAAGTTCTGTCATTTGCATTCTGTGTTATGAGAAGGGAGTCCTATGTTTTGTTATTAATTAAATTAATAATGAAATTCAGTTTTAATTCTAGTATCTTTTTGATAACACGATTTCTATTGTTAAAGATTTTATTATTATCATTCTCCTTTGAGCATAGCTTCCTTTCTACATGGTTAAATACAATTTTAAAACACATTAAATGTTTTAAATACAATTTCAAGTCATTTGGCATATGGTTACTAGTTTCTATTAATACTGGCAAAATATTTTAATTAATCAGTTGATGCATAACAGTAATACATTCTAAGCAAAACTGGTGCTTTACTAATTATTTTCTTAAGTACAAAAACATCTATGTATAATAGCCTAGAAGTATATATGGAAATATATAAAGAATAGAATAGAATAACAGAGTTGGAAGGGACCTTGGTGGTCTTCTAGTCCAACTCCCTGCTTAAGCAGGAAACCCTACACCACTTCAGACAAAAGTATACTGAAAAGTGTACTGAAGTACTGTATCTGTTAGGACTTAACAGATACAGTACTTTAAGTAATTAAGTAATGATGTTTAACAGAAAGGTATTAACAGCAAAACCATTTAAAGATTTTAGCTATGTAAAGTTTTTATGAAAAGTTCCTCGTATTTCCTACTTTATTTATGATTGCACCATCCAAGGTGAAAGGGGTAGAACTTTTGTTCATTTCTCCATGGTTACTGAAGCATTGCTGAACACTTATTGTACAAATGCTTACCTTGTGGTGAACCACATGAGACTCAAATATGCTATGCAGCAGAAAGAAACTGAACGGCACAGTCTTGCAGTAATTTTAGCTTCCTGTTAAAGCTGAATCATGCTTCTGGAACAAATGTGTTATTGCAATAGACAGCTTGATTTTCTATAGGTTGGAGGGTCTTGCTTCATTAATCCTTTAGATTAAAATAAATTTTCCCTGATCTGGGCTATAAAAATTCAGATGATTACTAGATATGATGAAAAGAGTTAGAGTTTCCTCCATGTCTTTGCTGTTACATGTTTGATGTTTAAATATCTTCATCCCTGTGTTACAGGCCATTGCATAATAAATCGGGATATAACAATTTTGTTTGTGCTACATTAAATTGAACACTATGTTTTCTTAGTTCTTTAACCTTATGATTGGGTACATACAACACACTAAATTAGAAAGTGATTTGCTTCTTTATAACTTCAAAGCTTTCGCTGAATCCTATCACAAAATCTGAAAATTAAAAATACGCAGTGCTCAAATTATTATGATTTACTGCTGACTGTGTTGAGTTGTACAGGTAGTCCTTGACTTAACAACCACAAGAGAGCACAGTATCTATGTTGTGAAGTGAGAAATTTGTTAAGCGAGTTTGTCCCATTTTACGACCTTTATTGCCACACTTATTAAGTGAATCACTGCAATTGTTAAATTAGTAACATGGTTGCTAAGTGACTCTGGCTTCCCCATTGATATTGCTCGTCAGAAGGTTTCCAAAAGTGATCACATGACCCTGGGACACTGCAACCATCATAAATATAAACTAATTGTCAAGCATTTGAATGTAAATCATGTGACCATGGGGGTGCAGCAATAGTCATAAGTGTGAAAATAAGTCACTTTTTTCAGTGCTGTTGTAACTTCAAATGGTTACTAAATGAACTGTTGTAAGTTGACAATTATCTGTATTTAGTTATAACAGTTTGTTAATATTTCCAAATAATTATAGCAATCTTTCTACACATAATTACTTCTTCCTCACATATTGACTAGGAGAAAATAGGAATGATAGTTCACAACTCTGGAGGGCATACGGATGTGGACATCTGGAGGAGACATAATTTTTTAATTTCTTAACCTAGAAAATCCTTTCTCTGACTAAACTCTTTTTTATCTCTTTATATATTTTTGTTCCCCTCAGCTTATATAAAAGGTGGGTGGATCCTTAGAAAAGCTTGGAAAATCTACAATAAGTGCTATTCAGACATTAATACACTTCAGGAATTATATCAGAAGAAGATAACTCAGGAATCTTTGACTTCTGATGCTACAAATGATAATCATATTGCTGCAGAAGGTGTTACAGAGGATTCACTTAACAGACTGAAAGGTGCTGTTAGCTTTGGATATGGACTTTTTCATCTTTGCATATCCATGGTGCCCCCAAACCTGCTCAAAATCATCAATCTGCTGGGTTTTCCTGGAGACCGCCTGCAGGGGCTTTCTTCATTGGTGTATGCAAGTGAAAGTAAGGACATGAAGGCCCCTTTAGCTACGTGAGTAGCTATATTGCAATGCTTTGGTAATAGCTTAGAACTGAAGTAAGTAAGTAAACTTCAAGCCAATGTAAGGTAGCAACATTGTCTTGTCTTTTTAAAAAATAATATATAATGGAAACATCACCTAGCGAGGTTAGGAGTTGTGTTTTGATATGCTTTAAATTATAGAATTGGGCCTTTAAGAAAAGAACCTTACTGTGTCCTTAAATTATTTTTACTCAGTGCAAATTGTTGCACTCAGAACAAATTCCACTTAAACCATTCTTAAAGTCTGTCGTTTAAAATATTTCCTAAGAGCTAATTTTTCTGTATTTGTATGCTTCTGTGTAAATCAGTAGTAGAATGCTATTTTAAAAATGTAAGTACTTGCGTTGGCACTCTTCTGTTCTTCGGCTGAAAAGGAGCCTTTGTATCTGGGCTCCATTTCAATGAAAAGGTTACTTTTCCACACACATCTTTGATAGATGTAGCCTTTCTTCTCAACTTAATGTCATCCCTCAATGGAGGAGCCTCTTTAACAGATTCTGCAAGTTCAAGGTTATCCTGGATCTGGATCTGAAATTCCTTGAAATGGTCCGCATTGTTTTTAAGTTACCATAGGGTTCTAGTTCTGTGCTTCAACAATCTGGATAACTCCTAGATGATTGCCCTAACTAATAGAAGAAATATAATTAAACGAGGCACATTATTTCCTCTTGTGAGAACATTTAATTTTTTGTTGGCAATGGTGGCAGTGTTTCTGATGTCTGAAGTAATAAAATTATTGGGTATTAATTTGTTTATGTTTAGAAAGCTGATTTATAATTTGATTATATAATTGGTAGGCTCGGTGGCATTTTCTAGGGAATTCCATATCTCTTCTACTATCAGATTCAGCTTCAGAAATTGAAGAATGGCTCTTTCATGCCACTTCTGTTGAGTAAACACTAACTTAATTTTTTAATGTTTTAATAAAACATCTCTGGTAAAGTAATAATTTAGTGACAGGACACTCCGTTTAGCTATTTGAGAGACAAAATCTGTGTTACAAAAGGCAATGCTGTAAAGTGAGTGATACCATTTTTATATAGATAGAAAAGGAATATCTGAATATGACTCTCGTTTAGTACAGTTTTCATTTAGTTTCTATGTAAACATTATGGAAACTATGCCACCTTTTAGGGGTGACATAGGAAGACACCAGTAGTGTTTCAGGTGCTAAATGGGATCCTAAGGCCACATATTCTTCATGCGTGCCATAACACAATCAAATTCTAGACTGCTTCACACAAAATAGGTGTGGAAGTTTTTATTATATCCATTCATGTAATTTACTTGCAAGCATGTTCCAAAGAGAGATGTGACTACTTGCTTGTTTCAGAGAGTGATTGGGAACAGTAGATAATACCGTGTGCATGCACTCAACTCAGTCTAAGTTGCTGAAGTTTTAAAAAGCAATTTGTTTAATGGACTATTTGGATTTGTTTAATGACTATTCCATATTACTGTATATTCTTTGATGCTTCTGAATTTCCAAAGTATGGAACTAGCTAATGTCAATATCTCCTTATACTTTTAGGTTAGCCTTGCTGTGGTACCACACAGTGGTTCGCCCCTTCTTTGCTTTGGATGGCAGTGATACCAAAGCAGGATTGCAAGAGGCTGAAGAGATTCTTCAGAAAAAAGAAGCTGCTTATCCAAACTCATCTCTCTTTATGTTTTTCAAAGGCAGAATACAGCGTTTAGAGGTACGTTTAGAGGCGTTTAGAGGCTTTGACCTTGGTAGTTCTTTAGATTCTTCTGTGATGGATATAGTAGTTAAAAAAAAGAATCTGGCAGTAAAACTATGCTACTACTAGTGGAAGTGCTATGACATTGTATGGTAATATTGTGGCAGGTCTTGAGTCACTGTTATTCAAGTTCTTCGACTCAGAGTTGAATGTGGGTCCGCAGAAGGGGATAATTTATGATAGATCTTTTAGAATAGTGTGAGAATTTGCTTTTTCTGTCACTATCACATATGAACTGACAGTTTTGGAGGACATGAGCTCAAGGAAGTAGAAGACTGGAGTGCTGAATTTTACATTGATTTCAATAATTACTCCACATTTTGTAATTCTTACAAGCATTTCACGAGATGATCATTGCAATTAACTTTCTTTTATACTGTTGTAGCATGATTTGAATGAACATTTGTAAAGTTGATACTTCTGTACCTCCACATTTTGATTGCAGTTTTTCTTCTCTTTTTAGTGTCAAATCAACAGTGCCTTGACCTCCTTCCATACTGCTTTGGAACTTGCAATTGATCAGAGAGAGATTCAGCATGTCTGCCTCTATGAAATTGGTATATGCTAACATTAAGGTTTCCTTTCTGTGTACATATAAGTATCTGAATGATTCAGTCTCCAGCAGATACATATTTATTTGATTTCAAAATTTATAGGGCTGCCCAGTTCAAACACTGTGACTCTGGATGACATATAGAATAAACATACAATGGATCAAAAGGAAGCAAAACAAAACCCAATATAACAACGGACAGCATATAAATATAAAATGGCAACCAGGCAAACAAGAAAATGACTACATGTCACACTCAAGTAACCACTAATGCCTAGGGAAAGAGCCAAATTTGAATGATTTTCCTCAAGGCAAGAAGATTTGGGGGCTGTGGTATTTGTGGCGGGAGGGGTTGTTGCAGAGAACAGGGACAACTGTAGAAAAGGCAGACTTTCTGGGTCTCATAAGATGATAATATTTTAAAAAAGGAACTTCAAGCATGCCATTTCTGTTGGTCCCTCAAGAAACTCACTCTTGTGCTACCTAGGGCTTTACAGGTAATACCTAGCACTTTGAATTGCATTCAGAAGCTTATTGGGAGCCAGATCGCAGAGTGTATTTTGCTATTTTAGAAGTTATCTTCTTTTGTTATGAATAATATATAGGACATACATAATTTCTGTGTTCAACAATTTTGATTGTCCCTTTTAGGCTGGTGTAGCATGATAGAAATGAACTTCAAGGATGCTTTCGAATCATTTGAACGTCTTAAAAATGAATCAAGATGGTCCCAGTGTTATTATGCCTACCTAACAGCAGGGAAGTATTGTTATATGATTCAGAAGTATGTGCAATTGGGGTGGAAATAATATAGTGTTTGTTCTTTGGTGTCATCATATTTTATGAAGAAAATTATTCATATAAATAAATACAACAATGTCAAAAACACACAGGTAGTCCTTGATTTATGACTGTGCAATAGGGACCAGAATTCCCATTGCTAAGCAAGATAGTTGTTAAGTGAGTCACACCCGATTTTACAACCTTTTTTGCCATGGTTGTTAAGCAAAGTACTGTAGATGTTAAGTGAATTATGCAGTTGTTCAGTGAATCCAGCTTCTCCCATTGGCTCTGCTTGTCAGAAGCCAGATGGGAAGGTCACAAATGTCAATCACATGACCATGGGATGCTGCAACGGTTGAAAATACATGACATTTGCCAGGCACCCAAATTTTGATCATGTTACCATGGGGACGTTGCAGTGGTAAGTGTGAGGACCAGTTATAAGCCACTTTTTTCAGTGCTGTTGTAACTTGAAATTGTCACTAAACAAATAGTTGTAAATTAAGGACTACCTGTATTGGATGCATTTCTGTCGTGTCACTTATAGTGAGTTTTTGAACATACGTTGGTCGTACATTTATTGGTAAGTCTATATCTACTTAATCAACAGGTGACCCTGGGTGCCTCATATTAAATGTAGAAAGCAACTAAAAGCAAACATGTAAATGGAACCCAACAATAGCAATTATCTCACACAAAAAATAGTGAATGCATCACATCCTATATTTCGGTATACTTTATATTTGTTTTTATAAGATCTTAAAGTATCTTAGTTGCTATTCAAAAAGCAACACTGAATCTGCCTGCAGATTTGCAGTTTAGCGGACATGATTCAGAAAGGAAGGAAAAAGGAAAGCCAACAAATTAAGAATCAATGATTCATAAAATTTTCCACATGCTTAATGAGCATGTGGGATTCTCAATGAGGGAACAGGACCTTTTTTTTTAAATTAATGAAAGAATTTGCTTTTTATTACAGTGTGTCAAGGAGCTACTGGTGAAGTGAACGGTGCACAGACTGTTTTCAAGGAAGTCCAGAAGCTTTTCAAAAGAAAAAACAACCAAATTGAACAATTCTCAGTCAAAAAGGTCAGGTGAATGTAAATTGGACTGAATTGGTTCATGGGTGAGCAAGCTGCAACCATAGGACCACATTTAAACCTCAAATTTCCTCTTTTTTGTGATCCTCAGAATCCCCTCTAACTGTGCTGCTAAACCTCAGTAGTATAAGTCCCTGGAAAATGATAGGCTCTAAGATATGAGAACCAGCTCTATTTGCAGCAGGTTACTTTTTGGGAGGAGGAATAAAATGTTGCTAAGTGACATCAAAGATATAATAGATGGGATAGTGTACATTTTTATATAGGGATCTGATTACAGGGTACAAACCATGTTGTGTTAATAATGTGTTTAGATACATTACTCCAAAAAGCACCGTGGAGGAAAGTGATGCTTATACCTATTTTGTGCTAGCTTGAGCCAGCCAAGGCAAGAATTATGGGAAATGTAGGTGTTCTCTTGTTCTTTGTCTTTTAATCTTCTTGTTGCTGATAATAGCATGAAGGAAATTGATTGTGCTGGCTTAACGGTTTTTTTTAAGAGAGAAATTATTGTGGAATTATTTTTTCTAGCAAAATAATTAACTTGGAATTTCAGATTGTTTCTATTCAATCCTGCCTGAGAACTGGAGAAGGCCCTAGGTGGAATGAGTCGCTTGGCAGGAATACAAGCAGTACACACACAGCAGTAACTAGAGGTTTTGGGTAGAATATTGCAGTGTTCTTTTTCCTGTAGAGGAAAGACATCTCTACCTCATCCAAATTGTCATTCAGAATAAAATATGCCAGATGGTTTAATTAGGATTATAAACAATGCAGCTATTTCATTTGGCATTCAGTAGTCGGCAATTGATGGCAATCTATCCAGGAATAATTTGGACCACTTATTGTGAATTTTGACAAAACGTACGTTTATTCAGTATTTCTGAGAGGATTTTATGCTATGATTTGTAATAACTGATAATATCTTAAACCATAAAAGGAAAAAAAACCAACACTTTAAGCTACACTTAAGGAAATAATAACTTTTAAAAATATTTCTTGGTTGTAATCTGATTCATTTGATCATTACTGTTTGGTTAATGTGGATAGTTTGTACTTTTATGTGTACATTTAAAATTGCCTCCTCCAAAAATAAAAAATAAATCATTATTTGGAGCCAAGGCTTTTAAGTTCAAACTGAATGTCAGAGATCAAACAGACCTCTTGCTCTGTGTTCCAGTCCTTACTTATACAACAATTGAAAGCTGAATTGTTATTCTCTCAATCTCTCTATCGATCTGTTTCAGGGCCAGCACAAAGCCGTCTCTATTCTTGTGACCTTTACTACTGTGTAAAAAAAAGATTAGGAACAGCACTCTTAAGTTCCTATCTTAGACTGACTGGACCCCTGAAAATTGAGTCCTAGGGCTCTACATTCTGGGGATTGGAGGCTAAAACATATAAGGAATGGTTGCAGGAATTGGGTATGTCTAGTTTAATGAAAGGAAGGACTAGGGGTGGCATGATAGAAGTGTTCCAATGTCTAAGGGGCTGCTACAAAGAAGAGAGGGTCAAACTATTCCCCAAAGCACTTCAAAGCAGAACAAGAAGCAATGGGTGGAAATTAATCAAGGAAAGAACCAACCTAGAAATAAGGAAAAACATTCTGCCAATTAGAACAATTAATCAGTTGAATGGTTTGCTTTCGGAAGTTTTTGGTGCTGCCTCACGGGAGGTTTTTATGAAGAGATTGGGCTACTACTTATCTGAAATGGTACAGGGTCTCCTGCTTGAGCAAAGAGTTGGACTAGAAGACCAAGATCCCTACTAACTCTGTTATTCTATTATGTTACATTCACTTCTGATAAATAAAACCAGTACCTGTTGTATTTTGCAGGCAGAGAGATTTAGAAAGCAAAAACCAACCAAACAACTTTGTGTATTGGCATCTATCGAGGTACTATACTTATGGAAAGCCCTTCCAAACTGTTCATTCACCAATCTACAGCATATGAGTCAAGGTATATATCTAAATTCTACTCTGCATACTTTTGCATACAATCTTTCTTCTACAAGAAAATACATTCTACTGTCCCTTTTTTCAATTGCTGCTAGTAAGCAGTTTGTACCACTTTGAAACAAGAAGCTGATTTCCTGATCTTATTCCTGTACCTTGACCTGATTGATCCTAATGCATAAAATATTAAGAAATAAGTTGACAATATAGATAGTCCTCAGGTTATGACCATTCAGTAACCATTCAAAATTAAGATGGCACTGAACAAGGGGATTAGAAGTTGCAGCTGTTGCAATTTCCCCATGGTCATGTGATCGCAATTTGGGCACTCAATAACTCACAGCTACAATGTTGCAGCATCCTATGGTTACGTGATTGCCATTTGCAACCTTCCCTGCCAACTTCCCACAAGCAGAGTCATTGGGGAAGCTGGCAGGAAGTCACAAGGTTCTCCCACTCCTGCCACTTTTTCACCTGTTCTTCCATGCTCTATAATGCCTACCTGTTCTTCCCTCTAGAGTGGCTGCTTGCCCAACTTCTGTAGCACCTACCCACAGCACCTGCTGGATCACCCACATTCCATTGCAATTGGCTGTGGCACTGCTCACCCCTCCAAATACTGTAGCGCCCAACCATAGCACCTGCCTCCTACTCTGTAGCTCTTACCTTTTAGCCCGCTTCCTGAATTTCCGCCTCTTCTCATCAGTCCTCACTTTATGATCCATATACAGGCGGTCGTAAATCAAGGACTACCTGTTTATGGATCATAAAGAAATTTGTTAAGTGAGTTTTGTCCCACTTTATGACTTTTCTTGCCACATTTGTTAATTGAATCACAGCAGTTGTTAAATTAAAATTAAATTAAAAGCTTTTTCAGCAGCCTTTTAAATAGACCTGCCTTTGTTTGAAGAATTTTGAATCCAGAAAATGGTGGTTGTGGAATGGAAGAATAATATCAATGTCAAATGTACACTGTCATCATTGTCATTTATTCCTGTCCTTTTCTCCTTCTGAAGCTTGCCAGGAAATTGAGGATTCAGCAGTTGTTGGTTTGAAGAACTTGCTACTTGGTGCCATACATAAATGCTTAGGAAATGTCGAAGATGCTGTTCAGGTAACAGAATAGAGTGAAAATATGCTAGTATATTCGAGCATATAAAAAGAACAATTATCAGTTAACAAGAAAATATACCAATAATGAAATGAAAATTTTAGTATGAGAATATGTAGAGCCAAGGATAGAGTACCTGCACCTTATAGGCCAAATTCAGACTGTCAGATCATAACCCAACCCATAGAATTTTTACACTTTTTGTCTTTGTTTCTTCATTTATTCCTCATTTCGTCTTTCTCTCTTTTTTGTTTTGCTTGCAGTAAATTCTTCCTAACTAATCCCAATATTACTAAAATATTTTTCTCTTTAAAACCTTTTGTTTTCCTTATGATCTTGCCTTCATCCATTCCAGTTCATTCAGAGTCTTGTTGTAGTTTTCCATTGCATCCTTGTCTTCTACTTGTGTCACCAGTATTTTGACAATTTTCAGTTATGCATCACTACTGGCATGCTAGGCTGGGCTAGAGATCTGATGCTTACAGACTATAGAAACCTAGATGGGATGAAACAGGCTGAAGATGGATCCCAACAAGTCTGATTTACTGTTTATTCAGTGATCATCAGTCTCCCTGTTTTCTCTGATGACAACTTTAGATTAGGTAGTAATCCCCTTGAAAGAGCAGATCCATGACTTAGATATCTTCCTAAATTTATGATAATTGCTGGATGGGCCGTGTAGAAATTGTATGTCTTTGTCAGCTTCAGATGTTGAACTAATTGTGGCCCTATGTAGAATGAGAAGGTCTGGTTTTATAACTGCTGCTCTCATCTGTATCAGGACAGACTACTGCAGTGCATTCCACATGGCCTTACCTTTTAAGGTTATTCAAATTGCATTAGTGTAGAATGCACCTGCTTGCGGGAGAGCTGCCCAGGCCATGTAACATCTGTACTACAGGTATTCCATTAGCTTTCAGTTAGTTTCCAAACACATTGGCTTTCAGTAAGTTTCCAAAATGTTAGTTTTAATCTTTCATACTCTGACACTGATGATGTTAACTCGCTTGGGTAATGAAACTCTGCAAGAAAACAGCCAAGCTCAGAAAGCACCAATGACCTTTCACTTCAATGCTGTAAATGGCTTGGCTCCCAAGCAGCGTAAGTCTGCCTTCTCTTGGTGAAATTGGTCATTCTAGTGGTGATGGTGGTTTGCCACTTTGAATACAGGATATGGGCTAGTTGAGGTTCACTGGTGAGGTTTATCATTGGTGGTTCCAACCTTGTCAAATAACATTTGCCCAGAAAGGAAATCGGCACCAAACCTTGTGGTTTTGATTGAATTATTTTACAATCCTTATGAGAACTGTTTTCACTCAGGATAAAGAGCATATGATTGCACTGTATTATCATTTATTATTTGGGATGTGAGGGTTTTTAAAATGATTTTATTGTAATTTATTTGGTGGTTGTATTGTAAAGAGAATGAGACTGGAGATGCTAGTGAGACTTATGGGGATTTATAATATTTCTCTTTCTCTCTTATGTACATATACTTTCTCACTCAATTGCAGTTAAAAGCATTTCATAAAGCCAAAGGTTAATGGCCACTGAATTTGTTTCCTAATGTATGAGATCAACATAGCATGTTTAGTCAGTTTTTAATTGATTGTTTGAAATCCAGGAAAATTTCAGTTCAGGAGAACTGTTAAATACTTTTAACAGTGTTTGGGTTTTTTTTAAAAGAAAGAATGACATTTATTGATAATGACTGCAGAGATTATGTTTATGTCAAGTCTTTTCTATTCAGCAAGTTTTACCACTGTCACCTACTATTTATTCATAGCCACTAGCAATTATTTCCCCATCTGGTTGTGATTTGGTTCATTTAACAGTTTGAAATGATAATTGGCAAATGAAGAGATTTTATGACTGAGAACTAATAAAAGTTTCTGAGTTGAGTGCAAAAATTCATTTTGTTCTTAGAAATAATGGGATATTTTTTCTTTCACAGTTCTTTCAAAGAGCCCTTAAAGATGAAATCTGCCGCCAGAACAATCTGTATATTCAACCATATGCTTGCTATGAACTTGGCTGTCTTTTATTAGAAAACCCTCAGGTAATGTGTGTGTGTGGGAGGGTAATCTGAGAATACATTTTTATTGCAACTCTTTTTTCTGCAATTGAAATTATAATTGATATCTTCCACTGGATTGATAGTCTCTGTACTTCAGAAATGGGGGAATGGGGGAACACAACTACTATGTTGTGGTGGTTCCCGGAATCCTGCTGTGCTGCCTGGAGCCCCTGAGAAGTATAATTCAATAGTCCTCAACTTACAACTACAATTGAGCCCACATTTATATTAAGTGAAAAATTTGTTAAATGAGTTTTGCCCCATTTTACAACATTTCTTGCCACAATTCACAGTTGTTAAGTGAATCACTACAGTTGTTACATTAGTAACCTGGTTGTTAAACGAATCTGGTTTCCCCATTGACTTTGTATGTCAGAAGGTCACAAAAGGAGATTACATGACTCTGGGACACTGCAACTGTCATAAATGTGCATTGTCAAACATCCGAATGTAAATCACGTGACCATGGGGATGCTACAACAATCATAAGTGTGAAAAAATGGCCTTAACATAACTTTTTTCAGTGCCATTGTAACTTTGAACAATCATTAAATGAACTGTTGTAAGTCGGGGACTATCTGTACTTGGAGTGCCCCAGGTTTATTTATTTTATTTATTTGTTTGTTTATTTGATTTGTCAATTGCTTACAAAGTAATAGGTATAAGTATAAACATGAGTAAGAATACAGAAAATAAGTACGATTAAATGGGGACAATAGGACAGGGACGGGAGGCACGATGGTGCACTTATGCAGGCCCCTTACAGACCTCTTAGGAATTTTCACCTTTCTTATATAAGAGTGATTGGTTGTTGCTTTTTGTCCTCTCTCTCCCTTTTTTTTTCTTTTGCTTATTCTACCTCACTTTTACATTATTGTAAGCATTGGCAGGTACAAATGTAGGTAGGATTCTTTCCCTTGCTGTCATGTTTAGGAGGAATAAAGGAATATAGTTAACAAGGCTGAGGTTGAGGAAGGCAAGAATTGCAGCCTGGGATTAGGAGAACCAGTGTGAGTGAGGGCTACCCTGGACTAGCATGACTCTTCTCTTACAATTCCCACATGGAGCATCTAAGAGAAAACACTCTTCTCTTTTAAGGGTTTTAGGAAAAGAGTAGCAGAAAATAACTGGAACTTATTTTTATGACTACAAATGCAGTCTACATTTTATTTCAAATAGCTGCACTCATTAGGAAACAGAAAAATTAATTATCTCCAATATTTTCTAAAATACTTCCTTGAAGTAGCTCATTTATGTGATTATTCATCTTTTTTGCTGGGAGTAGTTAATGTTCCAATGAAAATGATTAATTTCCAGTATTTTTAAAAAGTGTTCTGAATAATATTTATTATTTACTAGGTTTTTTTTTAAAAAAAATCCACCTTTTTATTTTTTTAAGTAACTTAAGGTTTCCTTCCTCCTCTCCCCCAGCAACAATAACCCTGTGAAATCGGTTGGGCTGAGAGAGGGTGACTGGCTGAAAGTCATCCAACTGGCTTTTATGCCTAACACAGGACTAAATTCACAGACTCCTGCTGGTTTCTAAGTCAAATCCTTAACCACTACACTAAACTTTACTTTCTGTTACTCACTGAAAGAGCAAGTCAGATTTCTTATAGTGTTTTCCTAATTAATCTTACTGTCATGCTTTTATTTCCTATTTTCAGCTAACTATTATAGTGTTATTTTTGTTTTCTGTTTTTTGGAAAATGACATGGAAATTTCTAAAATGATATTTGCTTCTTCCTACAGTCTGTCCCAAGAGGTAAAGTGTTACTGCTTCAGGCAAAGGTAATCTTCAGAATGGTTTTAAGTATTTTCTTTGCTGTATGTGGGGGGTCTCTTTTTCCTTGCAGTATAGCCTGCATGAAACAAACTTATTAAGTAGGGTGAAAGAAAAAAAACAACCTATATTCTTTTGTCTTTAGTATTGTATTTGCTGTGGGGAATTAGAAAATTTGTTTAACTTTTATAAACTTACATATCTTGTACATCCCTTTAAGTTGTCGTGCCTCTTTACTGATGTGGGTTTTATTTTTACCTTTATTTTCTATTACAGGAAGAATTCACAGGGTATGATTTTGAGAACAGGTTGCATGTTCGCATCCACGCAGCATTAGCCTCTCTGCGGGAAGTGGTCCCCCAGTGATGAACAGAAAGGCTCCCATCTTTTCTTTTTCGACTTTTGCACTCCAAGAACAAAACTGTCAGGAAGATCAGCTTTCCTCCAGAAAACTTTCTGGTGCAAGAGAAGTTTTCCTAACGATGCAAAGCTGGTGATGGAAAAATGTTAACAATCTCAACAATTAAGGACTCAGCCAAAAAGGTTAAGTGACCTTAAGCTCAAACAACTGGTGATTTCTTGTGCATAAATCCTTTTTAAATTAGGGGATGCTAGACATTGTGTTCAAGCCCAGCCACACAGACAGGGGATGGTGCTGGAGAATTCCTTTGAATATTAAAGTCCTTTAGTTCCAATGCTTAGAGATGTCTTTTTTGTTGTTGTTTTTGTCAAGCTGGAGATTATAGCCTGTGGTTGTACAAATGAACCAAACAACGAGCACACTTTGATTTTCTATATCAATATTGGCTTGATTTCCATTATTTTTCCCATTTCTGAAAAGTGTATTGATTCTTCTATAGAAAGGAACCCTTTTCATGGGAACAATATTATAAAGTTGTTTCAGTATGGTATAGAAATCAATACAATTATATTCAAAAGCCAACTGATATGGAGCTGGAAATTTGCCTGGTGCATTTACAGCAAAACAAACTTGCCCATGGAACTTTTCTTGGTCATTCAGATATATGTAAATAATGAAATCTGCTCCCATATTTATTTTAAATTATGAGAATATATTTAGAAGCTTTATTTTTTAGCCAAATGTTTATTTTTTAAATCCTTAAGCATTGTGTTAAACATTTGATACTTATTTAAATGGTAGTGTGGATAATTGGTTGTCAACAAGGGATTTGTGGATCACTCATGTTGCTAAAATGTAGGTTAAATATGAAAAACTTGCCTTCTGCCATTTTAAATCTATAGTATCCCTTCTTCTGGTTTTAGAACTCTTAAAAGAATATAACACAGTAGAATTTTATTCAATTTTCTGACTTTTAAAGTTGTCACACATTATTTTAGTGTGTATGTATTTTTAGGGCAAATATTGGTTTTTGAAGAACAATTTTTAGCATAGTAGCTTTTCCAATGTACTGTGAAGCTTTTTTTTAATGGCACTAAAGCCTTATTTTCAATTTCTGAAATTTCTCTTCCACAACTCTGGATTCTCACCTGATCTGTTAAATCCTTTATCTTGTTTGTAGTTCACTTGAACAAACAAGCTCAAAAGAGCATTAAGAGGAAAAAAAATTACAGTTACATTTACAAGGACTTCCCTGTTCGGTTTCAGCATTACGTAATGCTATCATGAGCACACACAGGATAGTTCCTGCCCTGTGTTATAAGCTCAGTGTTTGGATCATCAAATGTGAATTGGAACCAAATGACCAAGTACATCATGTAACTGTCTAAATTGCATAGCCTATTTCTTGCTACTCTCCCCAAAAGTACTTAGCGGCTACTAAATCTGCTATGCACTTTTTTTTAAAAAACAAAACAAAACTATATTCTGTGAACAATTAACTCAAACTTGATTGTCAAACATTCTTGATTCTATTGCTTTGACGATATTTTGTTCTAAATGTTCAGTTGCCTGTTTTGTATTTCAGTTTACAGACATTGGTGTTTATTGTCACATTTCAGTGGAAACAAGGTATGATTGTCCATACAAATTGCCCTTTACAAACCAGGAATTACCAGAGAGACTCTATTCTTCAGTATGGTGCCCATTCCATATCATCATCATCACCATCATCATCATCAGAATTACAACAGAGCTGCAATTTCTTGGTCTGATTGTAATTCTAATTCTGGCCCTTTCTGCAGCAGCTCCAGAATTTTGGGACCTTCTCCTTACTGAGAGAGGAAGATTAATGTAATTTGCAGCCTTTACACTCAATTGCCTTGTCCCTAACTATTTTAGTAGTGGCAATTTATTTATATTTTTATTTGTTTCAGTATTTTTACCCCAGTATTTTGAAATGACTCTAATTCACAGTCATAAAATATCAATATAAAACAAGATAATTAATACTGTATAAATTCTAAATCAGTTGTGTAATTCTAAACCAATCAGGTAAATCATTAGAATGAAAAAAAAAAACCAGATAGGAAATTTTAACAGAGATAACTTTTGTCTTGCAAATAAAGACATCCAAGCAAACATTTTTAATCCAAAATATCTTGCAAAATTGTCTTCATTAACTTTCTTAAAAGATAACAATGCTCCAAGATACTGTGATCCACAGATTTCGGTGAAGACATTGTTCACAACAATGGCAGCCATTGTGATAGACTATTTCTAGGATCCTCCACATCATCTCCTGAGACAAATATGTGGAATGGACAGTTGCCAAGCAAAGCCTTTATAGGCCAGAAACAGCAATTTGAATTATTTTTTTGAAATTAATTGGAAACAATACAGTACCTGCAAAATTGGTTACATGGCTGAAGTAGCTTTCATTTGTCAGCAGTTTTCTAGTAGTTTTTGGGGTAGCCCCAAATAAAGTGCATTGCTGTTATCTGATTTTGAAAAGATGGGGGCACAAGCCACAATGTCAAAACCTTCTGCTCCAAAAAGGGCTTCAACTGGTGCATCAGTCAAAGTGGAGCAAAGGCCACGTCTTCTACCTGTGGATTATATTGCAGCTATGAGTTCAAAAGTCATGAACCTGCTTTTTAAAGTGGAATGCAACCCTATCTACAGCCAATATAATAATCAACAAAGGACCAGTTAGTTTCTGGACTGGCAACACCTTACTCTTACTGGACTTAAGTTTCAGCTTGTTTCAACTGTCAATCCCATGTAGACTATGGGCACCATATGAGGACTACCAGGGCATCAATAGTTTGGTCTGAGATTGAGTCTACACCATGGAATATTAACATATTGATGGCACCCCATCCAGAAATGATTTCCTACAGGTTTTATACAAATGCTAAATACAGAGATGAGAATGGCATGAAGTAAATGATCAAATGTAAATGATCATTGCTGATCCTTATGACTGGAGCTACCCCTACAGAATGAAGTAGACAAACAAAACAATGCAGCATACTCCAGATCCTAGCAGATGGTCCAGAAGAAAAGCATGGAAGGTGTGAATGCTTTTGTGAGGTCTGTAGGATCAGTAGAGTTGAACTTTCTGTCTGGGTCTTAACAAAGATCATCTACCAGAGTGTCCTATGTTGTTTTCATCTTCATTAAAAGGGAAGATGAGTCTAGGTGGAAGTTATGTAACACAACATCACTTCCTCTGTTTCATATCCCAGAATTTTTGGTAAATGAATGGGCAATCAAAGCAGTGGGAAAGGTTCCTCGGGAGAACACATCCAACATTCTCATCTTTCAGTCTCAAGCTTGACCAGTTCCATAGCAGAACTATCTACCAAAAATCCATAAGCCGCTACTGAAAATGATGCAATGCTAAGTGTTCAGGTAGCCCATTCTAATCAATCATCCTTTCAGATGTCACTTATGCCAACAGGCAATATACTGACTGGGAAGTGATCTGATCATGATAAAAGACTACTGCAATATTTTTCATAACCTAAGCCAGAAGAAAAGTGAAGAAAAAGACAACATATGGATCTAACATTCATCAATAGCAGTCTGAGGCCAAAGCGTCTTTCAGTCTGGCTTCTGAGCTTAGGGAAAGGACATCTGAAGAAAAAGAGACAAGACCAAGAAAAAGGGACAATCCCCCTTTGAAGAAAAAGGGACAATCCCCCTTTTCTTGAAACAGCTTCTCCTTTCATAGTTCCCATGGCTCATCACTGTGGTAATTTATCTCATTTTCACCCTCAGTGGGATCAAGGGCCTAGCCCCTTTAGGATCTTCCTAACAAAGTATTACTATTCCTACCCCTCTAACACCTGACATGAATCATCTGTTTGACCAATGACACTCTTGGATTACCTTCCTTCAAAATCCTCACGTCCAACTACAAAACGAAACTCACAACCCTGAAAAAAATCTGTTGACACTGCCAGGTACCAACAATAGTTCCACTCTCCCTACTTAACTCAGCCAAAGTTTACTTGCCTCCAATAATTGCTTATCCCGAAAATTTCTTACTCAGATATAGCATATTCTAGTCAAAATGCTAAACATTCACAGACTCTTGGACAGTCAAGTTTAATCAGCATTTTAGATCCGGTTTTAGCAGCAGCCTTATCTGCGTATTTGTGAGACCCACAGGGCTTTTGAGTGCCCAAACCCAAAGCAACTCCAGCCACCTGGCATTTGGAAACTTAGGTAGTTAAAATAAGAAAAAATCATTTGATGATGAGAATATAGGATGGGAGAAATGTGTAATCCTGAAAATAGTTTTGATCAGCTGCAATTTATAGATATGTAATATTTCTGCATTTTTTTCTGCAACAGTTTCTTATTGGTACAAGCAATATTTTTCAACATGCAGTCTTTCACAAAACAAATTGCCAAGTTGAACGAGGCCCTTGTTATGGGGTTATAACAAAAAATGACTTGTAATTACATGCCAGCAGGTGTGTTTGCAGAATATGGTGAAAATATTCAAGGTGGCAGCCACGATGGTGTGATCAAAGATCCACTTGTTTTTATGGGTGCTGGATGTGTATAAAAATAGTTGAAACTTTGACTGCAGCATCATAGTTGCCCTTTTTGATTTTTTTTTAAACCATACTCTGCAAACACCCCTGCATGCCAGGAAATGTGGGAACAAGATAAATTTGCAAAATTTGTATGATTTTGGAGCCATTGGCTGGTTCCTTCAAAAGCCACAGTTTTATAGAATCACAGTTATCTGGCCATGGATATGCTTCTGTCACCGTGTCTTTTCTGAGTTGCATTAATCTTGCAGGCAAAATGGTTGTCTGGTATATAAAGAGTAGCTTTCTGCTCCATCCACCCATGTATTCCCACTCCTACTGTTACTTTTCCCATATATACCTTCTAGAAGAAACCTCTTGTAAACATAAAAGTATTTTTATATTAGATTATGCTGGTGATGAGAACAACCGTGACTGTATTTTATGTAATCAGAATGTTTTTATACTTTATAGCTCGGAGGCATGATCTAATGGCAATAATAGACTAAGCATCTCATAGGTTAATATATATTTTAAGACTTTTACCAAGGCAGATATATTTTTGTTGTTAATACTTTTTACTGCATCGGTGAATAACTTGAAGTTTTACATGTCACTTTAGATTGTTTGATATGATATAAGTCTCATTTATTTAACATTTAAACAAAAATGATTTCTGCTTAGTTAAATTAAAATTTAATATTTTCCTGTTTCAATGTCTTGGAACCAGGATGAGTAATGTGATTTTCTTCTGATGCTGTTGTACCTCCAACTCCCATCAGCCGTAGCTAAG